TACATAGCAGATCAAGAAATATATGTCTAGGTAAGGTTTATCTGAGAACAACTGGTCTTTGCCCAAGATTTATCTACATGACACATAGTAATTAAAATTACCAAATTGGTGGAACTAACCTTCTTGGATGTTTAGCAGACATACTTTGAGGCGTATAGTAATTTGGTCAGAGGGACATAAAGGACACTTTTTGCTCCTTGCCCTCCTAGGTCGACTAGTTCCAGGGGACTATGAGCATCTCTCAAAATGTCCTGTAATTGTGGTGGGTCACCTGTCCTCTTGATCAAGGAGGCCAAGGAGACCCCACCAGATGGACTTGAACCAGTGTCCAGCCTACAAAGACGAGGGTCATCACAGAGGAATCATTTCCTCCATGCTTCTAAGCGAAGCCAACCATGGTCGAGCAGGACCTTTGACTTATCTTCACATAGGCAGAACTGGTAAAAGAAAGGAGCCAGGGGCTCCTCCCAAGCCCATGTGACCCCTGAGGAACAGATCCTCAAATGACCTTAAGAGTAAAAATAAATTGGTTCATCTGGGCCAAATGTATGGCCTTGAACATCCAAAAGTAGCATGTAACCAAAGATTAAAGGGGTCAGTATAATTTCTTAGGAGTCCATATGCATGGCTGAGGGCTGCATAACAAGCAATAATGCCAGATAGGAGATACCTTCTCTTGCACTGTTGGCCAGGGTGGCCAAAGGGACTCCCAGATGGGTGGGAAAATGAACAGCAGACCCCAATCTTATCTGAAGGAATATTGACAACTGATTGCTGCTAGATGAGGAACAGCTGACCCTCCTAAAACAAAGACTTCTAGATAGGCTGACTAGATTCACCAGAAGGGCAAGTAGTGGGGAATGGCTGGAGTGCTCACAACACAGCAGATAATAGCACGGATATCAGAGTATAAGGGCTCTAGTGGGGGGAGGGAGGCTATGGAAGGGTGCCATCTGTGAAGTGGGTGTAGAGTTGAATAAGATTGTTTGGGATGTTCTGTGTGATATACACACAAAAATAATAAAAATCAACAAATTTTTTAAGTGTTATGTTTGAGGAGGAAGCATGGAAATTTATCATTCTAGTTGGTGGAGGTGATGGACAATACCATTGAGATCTGCCTGATGACTTTATAGACATACACAGGCTCCAGCAATCCAAGTACAACAGATTCATACAGATTGGAGA